GAAGACAATAAATAAATGCAGAGGGGTGCAGTAGTCTTGGTGTAAGCACGTGCACCAATCTCTGCGTCTCTCCTCTCACATAGGTCTACGTGCCACATAATAACCCTGATTTGAAGATGGCCGTCTCCTGGGTTGTTGCGCCGTGCAGCACGTTTGTGAGTGATGAGAAATGCGTGTTTAAATGAGACTTCCCTGTCTCACCAAAGAACGATCCCGAGAATTTGCTTCTAGCCACGCCACGTGGTTGGTAGAGAGGTGATTAACGTTGAGGCATCGTGTGTTTTGTCCAAAACCATGAAATTAATTCATGGAAGAGATAAATAAATTCATAAATAGTATAGAAAACGTAATACATTAGTTTGTTTTATCCCCTGGCCAATATATGACAGAGAAGGTATTAAATAATGATACTATTTCTTGCCAATGCGCACCAGGTCGGCATAGGCGCACCGGTCTCTAGCCGTATGGTGGTCTGATAGTCATTGCCTCTCCTCTTTTGTGAACGTCAGGATCTTTCTTCGGTGAGATAAGGAACAGAAGTCTACCGCCGCCTTAAGAACCCATATTTAAGTGCATCAAGTTTCATCGCAATCTGTCGAGAAGACATGTTCGTTTTAATTCACACGACTTCTACCTACTGACCTAATGGAGCCCCCAGAAACTGATGGATTTAACCCTGGACCAACTGCGTAGTTCGCATATGTTCTTCTCCTGAGTGGCTGCTTGATTAATAGGTTTTTAACTGTGTGCATAATGAACACAATTCATGTCCAGCAGACTGATTGATGACGTGATCGAATAAACATTTTTCCATCAATTTTACAATCCAGTGATATTTTCGTTATAAAAATCGTTCTATCACACGCGCTGAAATATTTCACAGTTACTTCACTGCGTGTAGGTTACAATCACACGCTTTGTCTATTAATATTAGACCACAATAATGCCATTCTTACAAAACCGAATTTCAATATTCCCTCGTCCAGTTACCATTAAATCATCTGCTACCTGTTGTTTTCTGTCCAGTTTATTCCGAATTATACATAAAGCTTGGATCTTGCCATGCAGTCTTGGAGAAGGTAACATTTCAAAGGAACATACTGTCTCCAAATTCAGGGTACAACTGAGTCAAGTGGAGATAACAACTAGATTTCTTCAAAAGGTCGGTAACAATATAGCTACTGAACTAGAAGGCGTCATAACGCAAAATACTACCATCAACAAAGCCATCATTCTTAAAAACGTAATGTGTGTTCAACTACTGTCCACAGATGACGAGAAAATCCCTGCAAGGGGAAGTCGTTCCTGGTCGGTGCGGGGGGAATGTTTACTGCCTGGTGGACTAGAGGGCTGCTATTGGTGGGAAGTGTGATACGTCAGAGTTTTGCGCTACTACACACAGACTGAAAACATCAAGCAGTTAAGAATAGCGTGTAGTGAGTGCACCTCTAATGTGTTCTGCGGGTGTTGCGATAATATTCTAGATTAAATCACTGTGCCACTGTGAGGTAAACTTAAAGCTGTACCCATTAGAACACATGAAAGCCTGTTGTCCGTTGTTCGTTCAGTGGTTGTGGAACGAATGCTTTTAGGATGGGTCGTCACTCACCGCGAAATCTTGCGCATGCGCGTTTAACGAATTCCTAGAAGGGATTTTCTCCTGGTCTGCGGACTGTATTATAGGACATTTGAAACTCAACCTGCAGGCAAAGACTGCTTTCTGAGTGCTAAGAGTTCCCACCACAGAAAGGATGTTACTTATATGCAGAACTGACAGTGCACCTTATATAAGACCAACTAATGCTCTTTAACATCACTGAACAACTGTTTCCTTTATTCTTTCAAGCCTCTGCCTTTATTAGGACAAACAGGAATAATTATGACGAAGTTAAATCTGAGATCCTTGTGTCCTTATAGGCCAGAGATATTTCGATTTAAGCCTTTCTCCAAAACAAATTGGAAAATCGCGTCGAGTTGTGCTTCGGCTTCGGGGGCTATTAATTACAGCATCTTGGGTGACAGGATGCAGCTTTAAAAGAAATGAAATGTGAACCCGAGATCACCATCGCTGCATAAAGGTGATTTTATTGCTGTAAGTCTGGGGTCTCTAGTAAGAGGTTACTTTGAACTTTAAATGCTTTATACGACTGAATCTCAATAGGTTAAATCCTCCTTCTTTTACAAGCAAAATGTGAAGTCAGGAATTCTTTATAACTCCAAAGTAATGAAAAATGTCCTCTTACTTTGTTATACAGCGTGTTTCAAAAGTAGCTTTACAACTTGAGGGCGAGATATTGGTGAACTGATAGGAGAAACATATAATTTCAGAACATAGAAATGTAGTCAAATACTTCAAGTTTTATGTTCATCGGATTTTTATGGTTCAATTTGACTTCCATTTGTTATGTAGTCAATATCTTGCATCTCCGGTGTCACTTCGGCAACTGCGGCGGTAATTCAAGTTCGGCCACATTTGCAGGTTAGGGTGGCACGTACACTCGATCTTTAACAAATCCCCACAAGAAAAAATCTAAAGGTGTTAGATCCGGGGAACGAGGTGGCCATGCTATTGGTGCGGCCCGACCAATCCACCGACCTGGGAAACGGTTGTTGAGGTACTCGCGCACTTCTCCGAGGTAATGAGGGGGTGCACCGTCACGAACATGGTCCAGGAACGCACGTGGATTTTCAGTACCCCAAATCCTGCAGTTGTGGGTGTTGACCTTACCAGTGACATGGAACGTGCTTTCGTCACTGAAAATTACTAAGTCCAGAAATCCTTCGTCGTCTTCGACCCTCCGCAAAATTTCCGTACTACAGTTTATGTGCATGAAACTTGATGTGTTTGGCTAAATTTGTGCATTTAAAAATATTGCGCACGACCTTTAAATCAATTTATATTCTCCTGCGATGTTGTAAAGCTACTTTTGAAACACGGTGTATAATATTGAATATACAACGCAGATTCAAAAAGTACCCGCAATGTTGAAACATTTTCGTTCTGTGAATGGCATCACTGTTCATGTCTGGTCATTCTCTAACTCAAGGTCAGACAGTGACAAGCTGAGACTGTGGTTCAAATGCAGTCTGTTTTAAGCCTAGTGAGAGTAAAAATGGTTGATCCAAAGGAGATTTGCACCAAGGACCCTCACCAATGTGTTTGTGATGTGGAGAAGTGAAGGGCAGAAATCCACTGCTGGCTGAAAAACTCGAACACCTTCAACACTTAACATGATTTATCCCTGGAAAATGAAGATGCACACTAAAACTGACTATATAAAAACAAAGAGTCTCAGCACGAAAGTTAATCGTGAAACCTTCCTGAATTCTGGAATTCTGAATTCTGCAATATATGTCAGGGAAAGTTGTGCCCTTAAACTAAACTTCTTCTGTGAATCAAAACGGCCTAG